GTTTAGCTAGCTTAATAAGTATATCTCCACTGTGTTACCAATTTGAAATCCAAAATTTAATTCAATAAAAAAAGTAGTTATAAAAATAATTTGAAATAAAAGTTCACAAACTTTTGACTCCAATTTTTTATAAAAAATTGTATGCTTTTTTAAATATTTATGTTCGTTAAGTTACCAAGTGATAGTGTATAAAAATCATTTTAAGTATTTTTTTTTAACAAAAACTAAAAAAAGTAACGAAATACATTGGTATCACAACGGACTGGGGTACACAAAGGACTTAATTAGATAACTTAAAAAAGAAACTATATAGGGTGGTACGATTTTAGAGTAATGCATGAACAAAATCCCTTGTAGTGGTGCTCACTTGCTCAATAACAACTTTCTAAATTGTAGACACCCTTTTTCTTTGACTATAAGATGGTGAAGGTCCCTTTTAGTACTTTTATATTGCGTGGAATTTTTCCTTGGATGTAATCTATATCATGAGTTGTAATAACAAATAATTTTAAATTGGTTAATCATAGACTACTTTTATTAAAAGCGACGGTAAATATCCACTTTGTTGTCGAAAAATTATATTGCGTTACCCTAAATTCCATTGCGTTACCATAAGGTAACATAATGGACTCAGTAACGCAGTGGAAAAAGTTTTGTGAAACCACATTTAAAAAATAATAATAAAACATTACAGTCATTTATTACTCCCAATAAGCTTTAGTGACCTAAAATAAACATAAACATGAAAAATAGTATTTTTTCTTAGGTTATTTATTTATTTTTTTTTTGAGTAACTTAGCGGACAAACAATTATTACATTCGCGTTACCCGCACCTGTTTCAACCGATATATTCTTCCTGATTGAATAAATAAATTCAGCTGGGTAATGCGTACATTCGAACATCATTTGTTGATCACGTGAGTGCCAAAAAAGTTGCCATATATTAGTTTTTTTAATATTCTATCGGTAACGCAACGGACGTAACGCAGCGGAAAAAATGTCTGGGACATGAGTCAAATTTAAAAAAAGTATATTAAAATTAATTAATTTATATATAAATTGTTTACTGTATTAACTAAGGATGTTATGGATTGCTATAAAGCAACACAACGTTCTGGTTATTTAATATTTAAAAGAAAACTTGTATGTAAGTTTTATAAAACGCTAATGGGACATACGAAAATTTGTGTTTCACAAGTTTCAAAATTAGAAAAAAATTATTCTGAAATAACTAAACAAAAGTTTTCTGAAAGAGTTTACTAAGGGCTTGTTAGGCTTTCACTTAGTATTTAAATCAAAGTTATTGCAATTCCATGGAATTCAAACTTACGGACAGCGGAAGGAGGTTGTTTTTTGAAAACAACCCAATTTCCTAACCTACAACTTGCTGAATTTTCATAATTTTATAGTTTTTATTCATACTTAAAAGTAACTTAGTTACTCAAAAGTATCTTAGTTACTTAAAAGTATCTTAGTTACTCAAAAGTATCTTAGAAACTTTCATATAGTATCTTGTAACTAAATATACCTTTAACTCAAAGTATCTTGTTACCAGAGGTAACTAAGTTATTTTGTTTAAAGTATCTTAGAAAAGTAACTAGATACTCTTTAGAAGTAACTTTTCCAGCTCTGTATAAGTGTTTATTTTTCCATTACCTCTTGGATTAAATTTAAATCACGCCTTCGTTAATTTTTAAAGTAATCCTCGAAAGGATAATGATTACCAGGCAAAACAGTTTTTATAGCAGGAGCTCTAAATAAAGGATTAGTATTACTTGTGAAGGCTTGAATTCGTTTTTTAAATTGGATTTTATCAAGGGATTACTCAATTCATTTTAAAGCAATTTTTATCCTGCTAATCAGATTTTCACAAACAATAGGAAAAAACGCCTGTCAACAAAGATAAATATTTGCCTACAGTCTGAACAATTCTTATTGCTAAGAGGGCACAAATGTCACTACAAAAACTTAATCTTTTATACGATTTATAGAATTTCGCAGGAGGAGAAAAATCATATAATAATCAATGTATAGAATTTGTCTGGGAAACTGGATGGTTTTAATTTACGTCAAAGAAACTTTTTTTGGGAAAAGACGACGGTCAGCGCAATTAAATCGGAGTCTGTCCGAAAATGAAATCAAAAGTTTTGTATGGGATTATGGGATCGTGCACAATTTTCAGGCCGCTGAGTCCTGTCCAAAGTGACAGTGTCCAATTTTCGCAAATTAAAAACGCTTGCCTCGCTTTAATTAAATCAATACCTTTTAAGCATTTATTTTCAAACAAATCCACACTGAAAAAACAACTCGTTTCGCAAATTAAGCTTTTGCTGAATAAATTAACTTTGCATGTTTTTACGTATCGCTTTTCAGTACATGTACAATTTTATTGTATTACACGTGTTAATCACTTAACGAATCGACGTTAATGCTAAAATTAGAATAATTATATTAAGTATTGCTATACCGTTAAAGGGTGGTAAGGAGTAGTGGGGAGTGAAAATTTAGGTATTTTACTTGGTAATTTTATTTTCGTTTTTTAAGATTTATTTTTATTTGAAAGTTAGTTTTAATTTTTAATGAATTCGTTTGTTGTGTTTTAAAATATTTCTGCAAAAATTCAAAGCCTTGTTTAAAATCAATTTCACCAAGACTGTTAAAAAAATCAGATTTGTGGTTTGTTAATTTAATTTTGCAAAATTTTAACATAACTTTTTGTAAAAAAACAGAGTTTGTAATTATTTTAACAAAGGAAAATATTTTACCGAAAGTTTTGTAAAGATAATATGCAATGTTTTAATAATTTTGTTAATTTTAAAGGTTACAGATTATTTTGTTAATGTTTAACAAATTATTCCGTTTAAAAAGTACACGTAATTTTATGGAGTCAATCAAAACGTTTTCCACTTACAATACAAGTTTAACTGACAAATTAAGGGATACAGTAAAGTGGGTTAAAGTTACGAAATACATGTTGTAGTACTAATATTTATATTGTACCAAATTCCTTTATAATTTGATGATTTGAGAATGGTGTGTTATTTAATTGTGTGTATGTTATTTTTATTTTTATTTATGTAGTTTTTTTGTTTGGGAAATTGATTAATAAAGCAAAATTCTTTTTATTCAAGTTTCCAAACTCCAACAAATACTTTTGTTACTGTCTACAAAAAGGTTTGTAAAAATAAGGTTATTTTTTAAATTTACAAGAATTATGGTTGAATTATTGACAGGATTGTGTTATTAAAACTACAAAAGTTTGTTATAATTACAAATTACTTATTCAATTAGTTAACATATTTCGGTTGGTTGTAAACTTAACGTAAAGTTATGGGGACCTAAATTAACATAAAATATGGTTAATATTTGGTTAAAATTAACAAATATTTTTTTACTGTGTAGGTAATCGGCAGTATTTAAAAAATACAAATGGGGCTACACGACAGCGTGGAACAAAACTGAAAATTACATATGCAAATGTTATTTTCAATTTCCTAAAATGTATTGTTTTTTTACCTAACAGTAAGGAAATCGTTAACGCTATAAATACAATAAAATTATTTTTGACAAATTATTAATTTTTAGAAAATTTTAATATTTTAAAACAAATTAAATTAAACTATGTATGATATAATTAAAATTTAAGCCCGCGGTCCGTTCCTACTCCTAACCCGCACAAGCCATTCAGTTGGCTTATGGGACTTCTTAAGAACTAAAAGAGCACTTTTGTATAAAATCAAAGTCTAAGATTAAAAATCAACCTGACAACTAAAAATTTAAAAAATGGTTATTTCCATTTTGTATCGAAAATGATTTTTTAAATCGTTGAATTCAAAAATGTAAAAAAAAATTACAAATAATAATCCTATAGGATTATATTATAATTATAATAAAAAAGTGGGTTTCTACACTTTTACTTTATCAATCCTTTTTAAGAAAACTTGCCGCCCTTGTTCATCAGGATTATATTTTTTTTATTTTTACATTCCTTCAAAAATATAATTATTCAAAATAATATAATTTAAAGATTTTTCTTCGAGTTTTGGTTGAAATAAAAAGTTGTTTATCAAATTAATCGTGAAATTCTTAAATATTAAAAAAAATCGAAATATTTATGGAAACGGAAATAATTTTTTTATTAAATTAAATTTGATTTTTTTAATAAAGTACGATATCCAAAGTTAAAGTTTTATACATTATTTCATTTAATCAAGATTAATCAGTTTTACATTTAAAACTCGTGTAAAAAGAGTCCGGATCCTAGGCACAATTGGCCACTTTAAAAAAATGAAATAACCTTTAGAAATAACTGAAATAAATTTTATTTAGTTTGAAGATTAATTTGAAAACAAAAAGATCTGTTTTCGTTAAGCAGTTAGGTATTCATAATGGATATTTTAACAGTGAAAAAAATATATAAATGGTTTTGATTTATGGAGAAGCAGGCAGAAATTCCCGAATTAATAAGTCGAACACCACCATTTTGAGCTCCATATTTAATAAAAATTCGAAAAATAAAGATTGTTTTAAGCTATTTTATAGAAAAATTATTGCAGAATCATATACAGAAAAAAATTGTTTAAAACAAAAAAATGTTTTAAACAAAATCTATCTATTTTAAGTCGAATGATCTGCAATAAAAAATAGGATGTTCCTTTGGACATTTTAATGACCTTCCTAATGGGGAATGGGGAATCATTTTGGTACTAATTTATTTTTCCCCTCGAATCATTAATTTTTTATTTTAATTTTTTTTCGTAAAATGCTTATTTACTGAGATATTTTAAAGTTTCAAGTTTAAAGATTTACCCCGAACAAATTATATTTAATTATAAATAAATGTATATATTTTTTTAATTTTTAAATTAAAAATTTTTTTTAATTTAAAATCTTAAGATGTCTAGCTTCTCTAGTCTACTTACCGACACACCTGATTTTTTTTCCCATACAGGAAGCTGATTTCACAGCAATAGTTAAATAAAACTAATATTATAATACGTATACGTATGTAAGTATTTCTGTATTGTGGGTAAAAATAAATTCTACATACTTTATAAATAAAAACCTTGAATATTGAAGGTAAAATCCCATTCATAAAAATGTATTTGCATCTCATAGAATCCCTTTCAAACTGCTTTGCATCCAGCCCCGTCTGGAGTTCTGTATATAACCTGCACTGTGCTCGAAAATTCTTTGGCCACGCGTTTGGCATCCGTACAATTCATATTGTTGTACAAAAGATTTAATCTTCTTAAGGCATATAATCTTTTGCTGAAACTGTTTGCTTGCAGCTGCTGGATCCTGTTGTAGGACAGGTTCAGATCGAACATTTTGATCAGGTCGTCAAAGTTTTCGCTGGTTACGAACTTCAGATTATTTTTCGATAAATCTAAACTTTCTAGCCTCTCAAGACCGTAAAATGCAGAACGGTGGATGTCGTGCAGGCCGCAGTCGATTAGGTTTAATTTTTTGAGGTTTGAAAGTCCGTAATATATGTTGTCTCGTAAAACTTTTAAGTCGCGGTTAAAACTCATATTCAAAGTTTCCAAGGAAGTTAGCCCATTGAAGGTCTTCGGTTCCAGGTAATTTAACTCGTTCTCGCCCAAATTTAAGTACTTCAAATTATGTGCTTCTTTGAAAGTCCCGTTCAAAAGATACCTGATTTTATTCTGAAACAAATCGAGGTCCACCAGGGCGTGCAGTCCAGAGAAGGCGCCGGGCTCTATGTAGGATATGTTCCCGGTTATTTTCAGGTGCGCCAATTGGGGCAATTTCACGAACATATTCCGAGGTAATTCGCCTTCGACGTCGCGAAATTCAAGTCGGTCGCTCACTATTTTCAGTTCGATCGGATCACCGATTCGGAAATTTCGCACTTGTTTGGCATCCTCGTATTTTCGCGCTTCGCAAAATATCAACAAGATCGTTAACGGCACAATGCAGAATCGCGCGATGTGCATCTAAAAATATCGCAAATAAAATCTCACTGCATAAATGGCATTCTTTGTTGTCGCAGCTTACCTTTTCAAGAGTCAAAATAAAAAAATTCGGTCAAATAATACTGCACTACGTTTGATACATTTGTTATGAATAATTTATTATTTTGTATTTTACTCATCACTGGTCGTATATCTACTAATAAAGTCAAGGTTAACGTTTCTTTGATAACCCCTTATAAAAATTTTACTGACACAATTACATAAAATTTATTTTATTACGATACTTCCTCTATTAAAAATTATTAAATAAATAGTTTTTTTCAATAGAAATACTTAAGCTTTTTAACAATATACTTATTTCGGTTCTACCTGCTCAACGAAAATAGATCTTTTTGTTTGCAAATTAATCATCGAACTTAATAAAATTTATCCGAAATCGGCAGTAAAGTAAAAGAAATCGGCAGTAAAGTAGAACTTTACTGCCAATTTAATACGAGTATTGTATGCAACCAATTATACATTTTAAGATGTGTCTACTGCTCCTCAGCAGCAACTAAATAATATTTAAAAAAGCACCGTCGCGACGGTGCGACGCGTCGCGGAGGTCGATTGGACCCTTTCATTAAATGTTGTTTAATAAAAATAATAAGTTAATTTTATTAATTAGATCTAAAAATCGCCGCGGCGCACAGTGTTTCAATCATCGAAATTTTCGGCAAAATATCAAGGACTAGTCGGATTCTTCAGAATTCCAAAATTCAAAATGGTAGATCTAAAATGGAGGACATATTTGTCAAAAAATTGACAGAATAAATTGAAAATCACAATACAGGGGTTTTTGGGGTGGCTGATAGCGAATCTTTAATTAATTAAGAAAATTATTTCCCATGAAAAAGTGATAATATCATAATAATATCATATATTATATCACAAATTATTGAAGAATAAAATACAGAGGAAAAATCAATTAAAAATGATTTTTTACGATGAAAAAATGTTTTAGAAGGATAAGATTATGGGTAATAATTTTCATACTAATTTATACCCCCCCCCGAATCATTTAATTTTTATTTCAAAAAATTTTTCATATAAGTAATTTAAAGTATTATTAAAAAAATAAGTGTTAAGGGCTAAAAACAAGTTTTTGTAAGAAAATAACCAATATAATTTAATTTCTTATTTATAAAATCTAAAAAATTTCGACCTCTTTTAAACCCAACCCCTTTCGATGTGTCCAAAAGTTTTCCATTTTTTTCTACCCTTTGAAAAACATTTTTGAAAACTTTTTCAAATTTTTTTATCCAACCCAAAAAAAGTTTAAAATTTCTCAAAAAAATAGGTTTTTTATTTTCATATAGCCATAACTTTTTTCAAAATTGACATTTTGGTATCTTTTTTTAAGAAATTTTTGTTTTTAAATAAATTTTTCGAAAAAATAGACAAAACTACGAAGGCGTAGAAGGGCCAACAAAAATTTTACAAATTTTAGCCAAAACTAACTTTGATTTTTGCAATTTCTATTTTATAATTGTAACTTGAACCTACAATTGTAACTTGAACCTACAATTGTAACTTGAACTTACAATTGTAACTTGAACCTACAATTGTAACTTGAACTTACAATTGTAACTTGAACCTACAATTGTAACTTGAACCTACAATTGTAACTTGAACTTACAATTGTAACTTGAACTTACAATTGTAACTTGAACCTACAATTGTAACTTGAACCTACAATTGTAACTTGAACCTACAATTGTAGGTTCAATAGACTGGGCCAAAAAAATTAACTATTTTTTTTTTGAAAAGTATATCGAAAATATGGTTTGGGGTGACAAAAAAAAATTGTGAAAGTTTGAGTCCATATTATTAATATTAAGATTTTTTTTCCTGAGCGAGTTTTTGTCTCAGAACTCCCAAATCGTTGAGTTTAACAAAATTGACTTAAGAATATTTTTTGAATAAAATTGAATGTTCTACAAAAAAGGTTTAATTGGAATTTCCCGTCAAATGAACCGTTTTCTTACAATCATGCCTTAAAAATTGGTTTAATTTTACAATTTGATCTTTTAACTTTGGAATATTGCAGTGGCGGCTGGTGGATTTTGGGTATACCAATATTTCAGTAATTAGACATGGGGCCCACACCAAATTTATAATAGTTTATAATGACATTAAATATACAAGTTCGGCTCAAACAGAATTTAAATTGAAGTTTGAGAAAAAAAGTTAGTTTTTCAGTCGCCTCACCCGCCCCCAGGCCCCCCTATTTAAGATAATTCAAATTAAAGTGGTGCAATTTATTATCTACTATAATTTATCGACAAATTTAAAATTTTATTTAAAAAATCCAAATATTACAGATTTTATTCGATTTTAAATTTTTATTATTTATTTTATTACCCTATTACCCCAAACCATATTTTCGATATACTTTTCAAAAAAAAATAGTTAATTTTTTTGGCCCAGTCTATTGAACCTACAATTGTAACTTGAACTTACAATTGTAGGTTTAAGTTACAATTGTAAGTTCAAGTTACAATTGTAAGTTCAAGTTACAATTGTAGGTTCAAGTTACAATTGTAGGTTCAAGTTACAATTGTAAGTTCAAGTTACAATTGTAGGTTCAAGTTACAATTGTAAGTTCAAGTTACAATTGTAAGTTCAAGTTACAATTGTAGGTTCAAGTTACAATTGTAGGTTCAAGTTACAATTGTAAGTTCAAGTTACAATTGTAGGTTCAAGTTACAATTGTAAGTTCAAGTTACAATTGTAGGTTCAAGTTACAATTGTAGGTTCAAGTTACAATTGTAAGTTCAAGTTACAATTGTAGGTTCAAGTTACAATTATAAAATAGAAATTGCAAAAATCAAAGTTAGTTTTGGCTAAAATTTGTAAAATTTTTGTTGGCCCTTCTACGCCTTCGTACAAAACAAATATTACATGATCAACTCTATGAAATTATCTCTTTTTTTATAAAATCGTTATTTTTGCGAAGTTCGCCATTTTAATTTTTTATTTATTTTTTTCAAAAAAAAACTTCAATTAATGTTACAATTATTCCCGCCAATCCCAGAGTGTGCCGTTTTTTTTCTATTTTTTTATTTAATTGAAAAAAATTGTCAAATTTTCAAAAACAAAATATTTGTTTTTTTCACAAATTTTATTTATATATTTATAATAAAATAAATGTAATTCAAGGATTTTAAGGTATTATTTTCTCAGGCTTAAGCTACGATTATACTGACTAGGATTAATGATTATTACTTTAAAAAAAGTGCATTTTTGAAAATTAGACAATTTTTTTCAATTAAATAAAAAAAAAAATCGGCCCACTTTGGGATTGGCGGGAATAATTGTAACATTAATTGAAGTTTTTTTTTGAGAAAAAAAAATAAAAAATAAAAAATGACGAACTTTGCAAAAAAGCCATAATTTCATAGAGTTGATCATGTTAAATTTTTTTTGTCGATATTTTCGAAAAAATCATTTAAAAACAAACATTTCAAAAAAAAATACTAAAAGGTCAATTTTTAAAAAAGTTATGGCTATTTGAAAATAAAAAAAATATTTTTTTGAAAAATTTAAAACTCTTTTGGGGTTGGATAAAAAAATTTCATAAATGTTTTTCAAAGGCCAAATCGAAAAGTGGTCGATTTGGCATGGAATACCCCATATGTATTATTAATACGTTTTTTAAAATACATTTTTTATTTTTAATTTCATCGTAAGAATTATTTAAAAAACATATTCTATACCTACATACATATTTATTTATTTACATAAATTTATGTATACATAAATTAAATAGGTAATAGCTATTTTCAAAGAATTTTCTGAAAGCGGCATGTGCACTATGTAAATATTAATTGCACATACCTGGCGAAGTGTTTGTGGCAACTACAAATATAATTAGTGTTATGGCAGGCGCAAATTAATATTTATATTGTTGTTATTAGCGAAATTTAATTAAATTGTATTTAAAATGTGAACGTGTGTTTGTTTTTTTGTTTGCATCTCAGGAAGCAACATAGCGACGTGTTTTTTTTTGCAGAAATAGTATAAAGTTATCTTTTTAGAACTTTTTTGTTCCTTTTTTACTTTTTTGGCACAGCTAATATACCTACCATATCTTTTTAGTCCAGAAGACTTTGATATATCTAATTAAACCTAAAAGGTTTTCGTGAAAATCACCCTTTAAATAAAAATCTCCAGTCCCATTAAATCATTGTCTGTAGTGAGCTGTACTTATCGAAACAACTATCTAGATACGATTAAATTATTTTTAAGTTTCGAGTTTGATTTATCTGTATAATTTGTTACTTTAAATTGTAGCGTTGCGCCGGCCATTAGCAAATTGTGTTTCAAACTTTTTAAGTGCAGACGCATTAGTTTCCGTGCCAAACTAAACTCTAGAGACTTACTCTTTCTGGGTAAGTATGTGTAAACAAGTTAAAACAAATCACACAGATAATAATTAATAACTATACAACAGGTTTTACCTAAATGTCAAAAAATTGTTTGCAACATGGTTGCTGTGAGTTTTTAAAGTACAGACATTCTCATTTTAAACCCTTTATTAATCATTAAAAATATTTTTGTAGCAGTTTCCTGGAAAGCAATTGTCCCAATATAAGCACAATGTAGTTAATTTGCAGGGATGGGTAGTAAAAGTTAGGATCCTATAATTGGGCCCGACTATCAAACAAAATGGCCATAAACAAAGTTATTATCTCTTTGGACCTAAACCATCTAATGCAAAAACACTTAAATACAAAAAAAAAATCTACCCAACAGTAAAGTTTTTACTTGAAATTATTGTTTATTATTATTGCTACTTCGTGTTTAGTCTGAAGTTTTTTGCTAAAATATTCATATATGATGCCCTACAAACAATTTTATTAATCTACGACCGTTTAACTTTGATATATTCAAGGGATAAAATATGGTGCGTTTGGGTCGTAAGCAAATTATATTCCAAACTTATTTCGGAAAGTGTCAACAAAATTTTAAAATTAATGATATACATCCTGATAATATATCGTTGGTCACTTCCGGCAAGGGCCTTTTTAATTTATTGACGATTTTGCTAATTAATTTGCCAAAAAGTCCGTTTTATATATTTTTAAATTATGTTAAGTACTCTGCATTTTTTAACTATAAAACT